CCACAACATCAAATTTGTCATGGAAATTTTCAGAGTGTTGTTAGCCTCCTTAATTTTTTTATGGTTGGATTATTTGTTGGTTGTTTGCCACGACACAAGCATCTTTATAATCTTTTAAACACTTAGGCGTGTAAACTGTTTTTTAAATTGTAAACAGGGCCCTCCCTGGCGGTGCAACGGGTTAGACCTCTGTACTGTAAGGCTGTCCACAGCCACTGCAGGGCAAGTTCGATCCCTGGCCCCGGAGGTGACCCACGTGGCTGGCAGACCTCTCCTGACCCACCTGCTGCTCCCCTCAGCAGTGTATTTCAGTCCATCTGCCTATTCTGCTCCCCACTCTGTCTCTGGTGAATCCTCCCCACCATACACACATACACACACACACACACACACACACACACACACACACACACCCCTCTGGCCTATACCCCAGTTCTTGTATGCATAAATAAAAATAAGAATAAGTTGGCCCTCCCTGGTGGCGCAGCGGGTTAAAGCACAGCACTGAGAATCTAAAGCCGCTTCCGCATGAGTTCGATTCCCGCCTGCCCCGGAGGAGACCACATGGCGTGGCAGACCTCTCCTGGCCCGCCCGCTGCTCCCCTCAGCAGTGTACTTCGTTGATCTGCCTGTTCTGTTCCCCACTCTGTCTCTGGTGAAGCCTCTCACCGCCCCTGAGCCTCTGGCCTGTACCCCAGTTCTGTATGCACAAATAAATAAATCTTTAAAAAAAAAAAAATAATAAGAATAAGTCTTTTTTTGTTTTAAAGAAGGGTACGCAAAGACAAGGAAATCAGGATGGTGCAGAAGGCTAAAGAGACCAAGCAGAAGGCTACCCAGACTCCAGGCCCGCCCTGCCCCTTGCTTCTCCCCTACTCTCAGACAAGGTCTCTAGTCTGCCTGAGATCTGAGATCCCGTGTGAGATAGAGGAGCCAGGAACTTCAGTGAGCCAGAGGCCCAAACAGGGGCCTCAGCGGCCTGAGCCCCACTCCCTTCAGCTGGACATCCAGGAGCAGCCTGACTGGGGTGTGGGGCCAGCAACTAACTCCACCCCTAAAGGAAGCCCAGTCTCCCCCACCCCAGGCCCCAGACTGAGGGAGGCTCTGGAATGCATCAGTTGAGTTCCCCACTGGGGGTCCTCTTCCCCCAAAGCGCTCCCATCCCTTAGGCCTGGAACCCAGGTCACACATCTCAGCCCCCCACTCTCACCTCATCTCTTTTCCACCCCAGCTTCTCTCTGACATCCACAAAGTTTATAAATGTGTGAAAGAGCAGGAAGGCCTTAAACTGACCCCTAGGGCAGTGCTATGATTCAGAGTTCTGAAGTCTTGAGTTTGGCAAGAGTGAAGGACAGAAAGTGGTGAAGTCTAGTCCAGCCTCATCTCCCCAGGGCCCCTGGGATCCTACCACCAACGTCCCTTCCTCCACCCAGGGCAGCCCTAGAGTTTGCGCATGCCCCAGGCTTTCTGGGAAACGGGCATCGTTCATCATGTGCCCTGGGCCCAGAGGGGGAAACAGAGGCCAAAGATGGAGACAAACATATACCAAGCAGCTCCTGTCTGCCAGGCCGTGGGGGCGAGACAATGGGAGCCAAGCTTCTCAGCCCACTCACTTCCCCGCCTTCCCAGGTACTAGAAGGATCTCCGGTCCACATAACTGCCACACTGTCTGCCCCAGAGTGGGCAAGAGTTGGGCGAGACCCAACTCCAGAGAGGCCTGGTGTGGGAAAGGAGGTGCAGCCTTGCTGGGCACTGTCAGCAGGAAACTCTTCAGACATATTTATAGTAAGTGCTGTGTCAGGGGATGGAGCCTGAAAGTGCCTGGAAGCATCAAATATCACCCTGGGCCTGGAGGCTGAGTCTAGAAAAAGACGACAGGGGTTGCAGCAGGAAGGACTGAGGTCTGATGTTGGAGGAACTTCCCCAGAGTAATATCTGAAGCTGACAATGGGGATTCCCCGTGGAAACTACTTCCAAGTAGTTTCTCAGAACAGAAGGGAAACTATTTTGTACCTTAGTAGAATAAACGTAATAGGATGGACATGATGGTCTTGGTTCACTGTCCTGCTAGGTATAGTCGTGGAGATTAAGCCTTGCTGTGGAAGGAAGTGGGGTTTGAAATCCAGCTTTAGCTTGGTAGGGGCACCCCCTGGTGGAGATCTGCACCGCACAAAGCACTAGCAGAGAGACCCAGCCAGGTAGTGAGGTTTCCAGCACTGGGAAATCTGAGAATACTGGGTGCTTCTATGGGGAGAGATGATGGCTGCCTGGAAACTCTGGCTCTCAGGGCCAGGACTGGAGGGGTCAAGCTGAGGGCCCTCCCTGATGGCACAATGGGTTAACGTGTCTCAAATGCTTACGCAGGTGCAGCAGACCTCTCCTGCCTCCCCACTGCTCCCCTCAGTAGTGTGCTTCATCAGCCTGCCTGTTCTGCTCCCCACTCTGTCTCTGGTGAATCCTCTCACTGCCCCTGCACCTCTGGCCTGTACCCGAGTTCTGTATGCACAAATAAATAAATCTAAAGTAAGATAAAGGGTCAAGCTAAGGAATGGCTCACAAAGTATATCCGGGCTCCTGGTCCTCTCAGTGGGGTTCCAGATGCTGCAAGGTCAGAGCCAGATGGGGGACAAGGGAAGTACAGGGATGTGGGGTGTGGACAGGACCCAGATAACCCTGTCCATGCATCAGCTCACTGGAGAGGACTGGGAGGGACCGCTGAAGGGACCCCCAGGGCCGGGCTTCTAGCTCATCCTCACCGAGCAGGCCAGGAGCAAGGGAGAAAGGCCCCCCGGCCAGCAGCAGTGAGAGGAGCGAAGGTATCCGGTGCAGAACAGCCCTGTGCACAGAGGTTTCCCTCTGATAGGCTCACAGAAGTCTTTGATAATTCTATTTTAAAGTAAGGGCTGAGAGATGGTGTTCCAGGCTGCAGGTTCCAAAGAGGGAGGGAGGAAGGGCGGGAGGGGGAGACAGGGACAATTGCCGGCCTTGGCCAATACACCCCACCACCCCCCTTCTCCTATGGAAACTTAAGCTGCCCCAAGGCTCAGAGGAGCTAGTCCATTAGCTGTGGTGGCAAGGGGGGGGGGGGGCGGCGTTAGGGAGGAGGGACTCCCTCCCTCCCTCCAGGTCTTATCTCCAAATGAAAGGCAAATCTCCCGTGCTCCTCTATTAGAGCTAAACAAAACAAAGCCAAAAGCAAAAACAAAAATCACCTCCTTGCACGTTTTAAGCACACACACACACACACAAACACACACACACACAAAACCTCTTTATCTCCTTTGACTAGTTGAAGCTGAGTAACTTGGGGTGTGTGGGAGGTGAGGGATCCAGGATGACTGGACTAGACCACGGTGGGAGAGAGGAGGTACCCTCCCAAAGCACGCTCCAGGGGAGTCCAGCCTAAGTGGAAGCTGCCGGTGGGAGACAACTGATTCTCCCCCAATTTAGCTTCCTTTGGAATGGGGGGGTAAAAAGAGGACAGACGGTAAGGATGTGGAGGTGGGGTGTCTTCAAGCTCCCACCAGGGAGGGGAGGACCAGAGGAAGCGTCTTGGAAATCCCCACAAGAGGGTTAAAAGAGGGGTCCAGAAGGGGGCTGGCGCCCCTCGACCGGAGTTTTCTAATGGGTGTTGCTGGGAAGTTGGGGACCCAGGTCGTTCCAGTTCAAGATGTTTCTGTCTCCACAAGGGGGGTCTGCCGCCTCCCTCTGTCCGAGTCACTGCTGGGGAAGAAGTAGAGTGGAGCTGGGGTGCTGGGAACGTGGAGAGGCCAATGAGAGGCCGATCCGCTCGGACGGAGCCGACAGAGGGTTGGCTGGGGCTGCGCGGCTGCGCCCCTCCCCCGCCCCCCCACAGAATTTGGGCTTGTCCTGTTTGACGTGCCCGCAGAAGGGGGCGGGAGGGGTACTGACCCGAGGAGCGGTCCCGCGACTCCACTCCCAGCTGTCCAGGCCTGGCGGGGGAGCTGCGGGGCTCAGGGGTGCGCCCCGGGAGACCAGAATGGAGGTCAGTGTGGTCTAGGGCCCCAGAGGGCGCGCGCGTCTCAAGGGACCCCAGGGGAGTGGGGACGGAGCACAGCGTGGAGCTCCAAACTGGAGTCTGGAGGTGGCCCGCAGCTTCTGGAAGAAAGAAGAGATGGGGCATCGCAGGGTTGGGCAGGGTCGGCCTCTGAGCCTTTCCCCCGCCCCGGCGGGGCAGCGCCTCCCGCCG